CCTAATTCTGTGAGAACCTGCCATGCCTCTAATTTGTAAAGTAAAAATTCTACTATAGGTTTCCAACCAGAGAAGTCCTATGTTGTTGGGAGATGCAAAGAGAGACTGCTGAGAATATTCAAAAATGATGATCCGCTGAGGCAACGCCTGAAGGGAGCAGCTGAAAAAGAAGACTCCCTGTGTTACCGTTAGTCCCCTGTGATTTCAGCTTTTTTTTAAAGCACACTTTTTTCTGCCTCTTTGCTGCACGATGAATAAGTTGTATGCTCTCTATTAAAAATTAAAAGTTATACAGTGCAGTTTCAAGAGGATATATATTGCTACATAACCTAGAGACCAATTTACAGAGAGAGCTCAGTGCATGGTAGCATGCGTTTCAACAGGCTCAGCAGTCATTGTGTGCAGCCTATTGATGGTTATGCAAATAGCAACCAGAGATGTCAGTTATTACATCGTTTGGTAATAACTGACATGTTTCACAGTTAGAGGGTAATTTCTAAATGACACGATGTCCCCCCTTGTAATAATCCCATGTCAAGATTATTTAGGTTGTTAATTAACCTTTTTCCTAATTTCCTGCCTGTATAGCCACCAAAGCTAACTGACTATAATCTGTAGCTTCAGACATAAACTGCTGTGGAACATCTGTCTCCTCAAAGTAGTCAAGATAGCTGAAACACTGATCAAGGAGGATGCTATTGTTTTCCAGTCATGAATTTTGCATTTTATAGAGAGAGTTGTTTCTTTGTAGAGTTGCCTGAATTTGTATTCAAGACGCTTTTCACAAAGCACCATTCAGTTTTGGTCCTGTCTTTTATTTCAGGCCATTTCGTCCATCTCTAGTTGGCTTATTGCTTGTTTGTTTGGTCTGTGGAGAGGAAACATATCACATCTCATTTTGTCATCTCTCACCGAGCACACCATCGGAAGGACTTGGGGCAGGCCAGTGTTTTTGAAGTATTAGGTTGTGAAAACCCTGGATTATCCTTTCAAGTTGGATGAAAGCAAGACTGTTTCATTCTGCAAAGAAGGCTCTTAAGAATGAGCACAAGTGAAAGAGGATATACAGCGTAGCACAGAGAGGGGAGCATATTCTAACTGAATTTATTTTTTCCTTGTGGTCTGTCTGTGACTTTATAGCCTGAGCTCGGGGGAGAAGTGGAGCTGTGTCCTGCAGCAAAGACAACAGAGCAAGTTATTCTAAACATAAACATGTGCTTAGAATGAAAGATGCCTTCCTTAAAAGGGAAACCAGACCAAGGTCATAAAAGGTTGTTGAAGTTATGACCCACTACAGCTGCTTGCTAACTGCAGGCCTCTGAGTGTTGGTTGTGTATAACTCGTCTCTGTTTTTCCTGCAGGCAGAGGGGATATATGGTTTTCTCACGAAAAGTAATTTAAAAGTTAGAAAAGTTGAGAGAGAAACTGAAAGAATTGGATTCCGAATGAAAGCATGATTGAGTGGTTAGTTTGTCATATTATAGGCCCACCACTCAAACCATCACAATAAGCTTGGGGGAGTTTTATTTAGGCTGTTATGATGAATGCCTTCATCTGCACTGCGTTACCCAGTGGACAGAGGAAAAAAACATGAAAATGTATGAAGACTGTCAGAGCATTTCCCCAGATTTCTGCTAAAAAGATGAGTCCAGGCTGCCTCTATTGTGTGTGTGTGTGTGTGTGTGTGTGTGTGTGTGGGGGGGTATTGTTTTAAACAGTAGTTTAAAACATTTCCTTCATTATGAGCTGTATCTGTACAGATGGTTTTGTATATACAATACATTCTCTGGATCTTCCTGGAAAGGAAATGATGCATCTCTAGGGCTCTTGCCCACACTGCATATGGCATTTTGAGCTGAGTATTCAGAAATGGCTACACTGTATTCCAGAGCTTTCACTTCATCTAAGCTTTTGAGACCCATCAATATAATTGGTTGGTCACAGCATGCATCTATTACAAGTTGATCAAAGACTGCTTGTAAAGAGTTTGCGAAAAAGAAAAGATGAAAATGCATACATAAGCGGAGGAAACAAGGGTTTGACATTTGTGAGGTTTTTCATCTGTCATCCAGGAGATTGGTTTTGCAGCATTAGTTTAGGGCATCACTTTTGTCCTTTTGGGGGTTCACAATAATATGGTGACAGTATACTGTATAGGAAATATGACTTTATGTATTGGCCCCTCATTTCTAGCATAATGTAGCAGGTTAAGATTCCTGTAGTGCCCCTTTAAATGAGACTTGAGAGGCCGGTTGCAGCATTCCTATTAAATAATGTGCTTGTATTTTCTGTTCTGCCTGATGAATGAAAACAGGACGGTATTCTATCAGTAGTACAAACAGTAGCTTATTTGAACAAATTGACAACTTCCATGTTTCATCTCAAGTATGAGTGTTTTATAGTTAGTTATCAGAACAAAGCAAATAAATAAAGCTATATTATTCTGATGTTCAAATTCATTCTAAAAGATCTTTAAATATTACAGCTTTCACTAGACTAGAATTCTCTAACCAGATATTAACCAATAATAAATACCAGCCAAATAATTACCATATAATTATCATACAATTTCTAATTAGCATATAATTTCTAATTAACAGAGCATTTCATACATATTACTGGAGCTGGGTCTCATCTGTTACTGCTAATCACATATGTGCTTTGTACAGCAAAAAAGACGTGTTTTTAGCCACAGCGCCTCACATTCTTTGCCTCAAATCTCATCCTGCTGATGTGCCTCTTTTCACACAATCCTCTTCTTTGTCATTTCTCTGATTTTCATTGCTGCTCTTTCACAGATTTTTCATTTTTTCAGAAACCGATTCTTCCCTAAAAATCCATCAAAGTTTAATATTTGCAAAAAAATTCAAATAAACCCTAAGGCATATTTGTGATTCATTGTTTAGTGTGATGAAAATTACTTTAACTGCAGCATTAGAGTACAAATCAGAGCAAGCACTAGACTCCAGATTATTTTTCTTG